TTTTTGGGCTGTGGAAGAGGGGCTGGGGCAGCTCCTGGCCCCATTYTCTGGGCATTCGRAGRGGAGACAGCCTGCAGTCTCTGCGGGAAGAATCCAGCGCCACTGCGGGGTTATCCTACTTTGCTTCTGCCACCGTGAGGCTCTGCTCCTAACTGAGACCTTATCAACACCCTACCTCACTGGAAAGGACTCTCGCAAGGGAAAACCCGGGACTCTGAACCCCTCACGCTCTGAGGGAACTTCTCTGSGTTCGGGAATCAGGCTGCCACTGCTCACCACACCGGTTTTTCCCTGGCACTGYTCCGTGTTTCTGTTACACTGTAACCTCGGGACACAGCACGGCTCCTGCGACGCTGCGGAGTTTTTGCCAGCTCAGGCGAGCCAGCCCCTGCCGCGCCCCGTCCCGCCATCACCGCGTGAGGGAGAGCGGCCGGSCCACAGCGCCCCCTGCCGGCGGGGAGGAATGACAGCACCCCTCAGCGCAGCCGGGCCCGCAGCGCCCCTGCCGGCCGTGAGCGGAACTGCACMGCCCTGCGGCTGCCACTGCGTTCGTGGTTTTGTTTGTTGTTGCTGCCCTCGTTGTTTGTTTGTTTGCCTTGTCATACAAACTAGTCAAGAACAGTTATTCCTTTTCCCACATTTTTGCCGAAAAGCCCCATGATTTCGAAGTTATAATAATTCGGAGGGAAGTGAGGTCATATTCTCCGCCCCAAGGGAGGTCCCCGCCTTCCTTGGCAGACRCATGTCTTTCAAACCAAGACATCCCTCCAGGGCACTGGGAAACAAATAAACATCACAGACGGCTCACGTGTGCTCCGTGCTCCGGCTTGGAACCCCCCTGCTCTCCGGGGCTTCTCTCCCTGTGGTGGCTTCTGGAATCCTCCACGAGCCTGGAAAAATCCTGGATGAATGGAGACAATCCGCGGGGTCCCGTGGGGTTATTGCTGAGCGGAGGCATCATCTTTGTGCTGAAGGGGAGGAGAGAGTCCGTGGGCTCCCTCCGAGGTAGAAAAAATTGTCCCCGAGACTAGAAGTGTGGAAAGGGAATTCCAGGAGTCTGGAATGCCATGCCACRGGAGGTGGGACATTCCATTTGGGTTTAGGGAGGACAGAAACTTCCCAGCCCAGAGATGGCTGACCTGAAGGGTGAGGATGGCTCTGAGCCCCTGGAGCACTGTTCCCCACGCCAGGACTGCTCCAGGATGACGGAAGGGCTGGGATGGGGTGTCCCTGAATATTTAGAGTCGGGGGAAGGAACCCCCGACTGAGGCCGATCCCTGTGCCCGAATTGCTTTGTGTTCCCAACTTGGCTCCACTCTGTTCCCRATGGAAATTCCACAAAGGGCCGGTTCTCTCTTCAGATCTACTCCCAGAAACTCAGYGTTTTGGRTCCTGAGGATCGGGAACATGATGTSGCCACCCAAATGCAGAGAAGATGGGGAATACTGGGCAGTGACAGCCTGGGAAAGAACCCAGGGGAGGTTCTTGAGGTCGCTGTTATTGCCACAATATTCCCGGGGGTTTCTGCTTGTGGCTGGAATGTCGGGCCTGGCAGAGGAGCTTCAGCTGGGATGAGAAGCCGGCGGTGAGAACAGAGTCCCGGGAGCAGCTGGATCGGCAGGACGTTCAGGTTTTTCCGTGYGGGGAATGCTGGGAGGGTCGGTGTGCTGGCTAACGGGATCCAAAGGGAACGGCAGCGGTGGAACGGCGATGGGAAGYGCTTCCTATATCCCAACAGGAAGCTTCCGGCTGCTCGCCAGCTTCGCCCTGGTCCCGCCAGAGCTGGAATATCCCTCGTCGCTGCCGAGGCTCTGGAGGCTCCCGCGCTCGTCCGAGTCGCTGGGGCTGCTGCTGCTCCAGTCCAGGTCGGCCGGGAGGTCGTCCGTGCTCTCCACATCCACATCCATCTCTTCTGCCAGAGGAATGGGAATGATTGGAGTTCCAGCACGGACAGACCTCTCAGCGGCCGTCCCCCAGCGTGGGCTCTCACCTCGATCTGAGTCGGAGCGCTCTGAGGAGAGGCTGGAGCCGATGCTGTCTATCCTGACCCGCTCCATTCCCAGCTTTTCCAGCTGCCGCTGCAGGTGCCGCTGCTCCCGCTGCAGCTGCTCAATCTGGTGCAGGGCCCGGCGCTCCTGGTCCTCCAGCTTCTGCAGAGGGGGACACGGGACCCTGAGCTCCTGGGATCCCCTCGGACACCACACAGGACTCTGAGCTCCCAGGATTCCCTTGGACACCACACAAGACTCTGAGCTCCCAGGATTCCCTTGGACACCACACGGGACCTCCCGAGATTCCTTCGAATACCCCATGGGACCCTGAGCTCCTGGAATTCCCTCGGACACCACCTGGCATTCCTGGCCCAACACACCCCAGTGCAGCCACTGCTGGCTCCCGAGGGACCGCTGGCTTCAACACGCTTGGGATGTGRAGCTCTGTGGATTCCAACTCCTGCAGGTATTCCCAACCCAATGTCAGTGCTCTCCCAGTTATCCCAGCCTGATCCAGCACTCTCCCAGTCATCCCAGTCCAGTATCAAATCTGCCCGTTATCCCAGTCCAAGTTAGAACTCCCTCAGTTACCCCAGCCCAATCCCAGCCCTCCCCCCATTATCCCAGCCCAATCCCAGCCCTCACCCCATTATCTCAGCCCAATCCCAGTGCTCTCCTAGTTATCCCATCATAATACCAGTGCTCTCCCAGTTGTCCCAGCCCAACACATCCTGCCCCCAGTTATCCCAGCCCAATCCAGCACTGTCTCAGCTATCCCAGCCTGATGCCAGTGTTCCCCATAATCCCAGCTCAACCCAGCACTCTCCCAGCCTATGCCCTGTACTGAGATGCTGCTCTTGGCATTGAGATCCTATTTTCTGGCTCACCTGGATGTGGAGCCTGGCTCTGGTGAGGAGGCTGAGTGTCGTGTGCCGCCCGGCCGCCGCTCCCAGYGGCACCAGCCCCTTCAGCCTCTCCAGGCACAGCCGGAGCTGGGCACGCCTGSAATGGGAACACACAGATGGATCAGCTTCCCAAACTGCATTCCCACCCCACTGGTGTGGTAAACTGGGGTGGCAGGAGCTAAACCTGACCAGGAGCCTTCCCAGCTTCCATGGGCTTCCAGAAACTGGAAGAAAAGTGCAGCCAGGCAAAAGGATGTCTTGGAAAAACCTCCYGGATAAAMCCTGCTGGCACCCTGGGCTGTTGGRATGATTCCTRRCAAGGAGATGCCAATGACCTYGGAATTCTGGGCAAGAATATCCACTTTTGGTCATTCTCTTCCCAAAAAGCTTCATCTCAGGAATGCTGTTTGGCTCCTGCTGACAGCTGAAGCTGCCCAGGCTGACACCCAGCTGCAAATCCCTTGGGAGCACTTCCTTTCCCTATTWTTAGTAGGAGCAGGATGGTTTTAAATACAAAACAAAACCAGATCCTTGCAGGAGCACTGACCATGCTCCAGAAATCCTCCTTCTTCCTGTAACATCTGTGTTCTCCATATTAATAGGATGTTAATGCTGGAGGGAAGCTCCAGCTCCTCAAGGAAATCCCTTTATCTGCTGAAAGCAGGGATGTTCCCAGCACATCCCAGTTTGCCTGTGTCCATTAGTCCAATCCCAACATGTAGGTCAGATCCTTGGGAATGGGTTGTAACACCCATCTCTGAACCGCCCGATCCCGGGCAGCTCCAAACAGGGATTTTGCAAKGACCTGCTGGTCTTGTTTGGGACACGCTGGGAGTGAACAGGGATTTCCTCACCCAAAGGACCTCAGSATGACAACACAGGCAAAGAAAGTGGGATTTACTTGGGATAAATCCCAATCTCCAACTAGCTCAAAAATGAGCCAGTGAAGAGACAATTTTCCTGAATAAGCATAGYGGGAGCTGGCTGTGGAGAAGGGTATCATTCCCACATCCAAAGACAGGGAATGCTTTAATCCTTGGTGTCCTTTATACCATTCTTTCCCTCCCATGCCCCTCTAAACCCATCTCAGCTGGAATATCATTGAAAAAGAAATAATTCACCTGAGCACAGCTCCTGACAACCCTCTGGCACTCACCTGTTCTTTTCCATCTCATTGTGTGTCGACCTGGAAAAGAAGGAAGAAGTTATTAATCCCCTGTCTGATTAGGGATTAACAATTGGGACTAACATGTGGGAATCAGCAAAGGCTTCCTAGAAAAGCTGCACACCCAGGGGSCTTCCAGAGCTCCATACCCAGGGATGGTGAATGGCAGGATGCAGACGCAGAAATTGCCAGATAAATGGCAATAAAAGGGTCAGAAAAAACATAAAATGGGATTTTAATCCATAGACTGAAGTTTTAGAGCTGGGATTGGGATTAATAGTGGTATCAGTGCTGGGAGTTTGCTCCACCCTGACACTGGGCAGTATCCAAGAGGTGGTGACTGACTCCAGTGATGGAATAAATCCCCAAATTGGCTCTGGACAYGCTGGAGCCTCCCAAGCCTCACCAGCATCCACTGCTCATCCCTATCCCTCGACCTGCCAGGAGCACGACGTGGAAAAAACCTTCCCTGTGTCCAACAACACAGAGCAGCTCCAGAGAAGACTCTGAATATGTCATTGACATATTAAATCCACAACAAATCCCCCGGAAATTTTAAATTTCCATGGAGCTGGGAAAAGGTGGAAAACAAACACAAGCTTCAACTGATTTTTCCTCCCTTGAAATCCAGGAAAGAAGCCACAGGAGGCCGCACTGCTCATGTTCCCAGGAATGATGCTCAGGGAAGAGCCATTTCCCTGCCTACTGACTTCCTAAAACCTCCAGAGGACTCAAGAAGCTCCACTCTAATTTGGGAAAAATGTTGTTATGTGCCTGAAAACAGAAATGTGGGAATACCCCACAGGCCATTTGGATGAGGATTTCTTCTGGGATGGCCCCATGGGATTTGGAAGTGCTGGAAAAACAAGGGATGTCACTGAAGAGAAAACGAGGGATGAATCAAAGAGAAAATGAGGGATGAACCAAAGGGAAAATGAGGGATGAACCAAAGGGAAAATGAGGGATGCCACTGCCACAGCAGTGGAAGATGCTCTCTGAGTCTCCTTCACTTTTCCAGCAGCATTTCCTGATAGATCATCCTGCTCCAGCGGCTCTGTTGGCTTTCTGTCAAGATGGGGTCCCAAGGGCCACATCTCCTAAATCACCAAAAATGTTCTGTCCCAGCAGAGACACTTCCCACTTCAGCTGCCGGGATTATCCTGACTCAATGGCAGGACTCAGCTCTCTGGTTCCTGTGCAGYTGCTCCATTAAATTTTTCCCTGGATAAATCCACATGTTTCACACCCAGCCCTTTACCAAGGGATTAAGATGGGCTGCAGCCTTACAAGTTTTTCCCCTTGATTCTAAATTATTCAAACACCTCCCAAGCACTGGTAGGTACAGGGGGAAAGCTCCCATCACYTCCACAATCATTAATTACAAATCCATCCCTTCCTCTACCTGGATCCTCCCTTGAATGGTTGTTTTCTCTTTTGGTTTGCATTCACCATCACCAATATTTAGAAATTAATTAATTGATGGATTTAATTTTGGTTAAAATTAATTGATGGATTTAATTTTGGTTAAAATAAGCAGGAACAGAGAGGATGGCAGCTTCACCGTGAGGCAGGTGGACCGCATCCACACTCCCACATCCTCTCCGGAGATATTTCATGCCCATGGAGTCAGTGATCATGATTCCCACTGTTGAAACTTCATCTGATCACCAGCTTTCCCTTCAGAACGTGTTTTTTATTCCTAAAAACCATAATAGGTTGGCCTGAAGCAAACAAAATATTTCGAGAAKGAAACCCAGAGCGTTCCAGGCAGGAAAAATCACCAGATTCACCTGGAGCCTGTTTGATTTGAGCCCAATGGCTTCAGTTGCCCCCTGAGGAGCTCCTGACRCCCCAAAATGCCTGCCTGGGCAGGACACAGAGATGCCCTGGCTCTGGGAGACACCGGGAATCATGGCATRGACAAATCCAGGTGGATTTGTTCCGGCAGCTGCCAAAGGTCGGCCGCGGTGGCGTCGTGCAGACGGGGCTGCTCCCAACCAGGAAAGAAGTGACAGATGTGGTGCCATCAGGGCCTGGCTCCTCCCTGGCAAGATCTGGCGCCAGTGACGTGTCGGGGTGAACTTGCTGCCCCTCACAGCTTCCCCTTGGCTGGCTGCACATCCTGGAGCGAGCCCTTCCCAAAATCAGCAGGTGGTTCCCCTGCCACCAGGATCCAAGTGATTTTAAGGTTATTAAAGTGATGGAATAAAGCCTCCGGGATGGTGGGATTTGCTCCTAAAATTCAATGTGGGTGCTTGGAGCTGACTTCTTGGAAAAAAGGTGGTTTAGGATTTAAAATCAGTGAGAAATAAGAGGGAGAAACAACCAGAGGAGAGTAATGGGGAAGAACAACCAAGGAGACATAATGGGAGGCTTTGGGTGGGTTTCAGGGTGGATAATTAGGGAGGTGACAGGAGGGTCCCCTCCTGCCCTGCCAGGACCCTGTGACAGCAGGAAGTCTCTGGGCCAGTCACTCAGGGACAGAAAGGTCCCACCCACGGTGTCACACACCCGGTGACAGGAGGACTTTGGTGACAGCAGAGCCCCACCCAGTCCTGTCACACACCCAGTGACAACAGGACCTCGCTGAGCCCAGTCACCTGATGACAGGAGAGTCCCCCAGTGCTATCACACACCCAGTGACAGGATGACCTCCTTGTACCCCCAACACCTGGAGACAGGAGCCCCCCCCCGGGGCTGTGACACCCCCAGTGACGGTGGGACGGGCCCTACCAGAGCCCGGGGAGTGGGGTGTCACCACGGCCCGGCCACAGGCACAGTGACMGCAGGGCCTCCCCGAGTCCGGACACCGGGGATAGGAGCCCCCCGGGCCTGTCACACACCCGGAGACAGAGGCACCTCAGGGAGACTGAGCAGCGCCATGACAGGAGGGTGTCCCCGGCCCTGTCACACATCCGGTGACCGCGGAGCACCACCAGGGCCCGGGGACCGGGAGGGTGACCCCGGCCCRGCCACAGGCCCAGTAACAAGGGCCTCACCGAGCCCGGACACTCGGACACAGGAGCCCCCTCGGGCCTGTCACACACGCCCAGTGACAGCGGGGGCTCCCCGGGCCCGGCCACACGGTGACGGGAGCCCCCCCCGCCCGGCCAGGCGGGATCCGCAGTGCTACAACGGCTGGGCCCGTTCGGTCCGGTCCCACCCCGCTCCGCCCGGTGCCGCCATCACCTGCCGCCACCGCCGCTCCTCCGGGCCTTAGCGCGGCGCCGCGGGGCCTCCCCGTCCTTCCCGCCGGGCCGCAGCGAGGCGTAACCGTGCTCGGCTTCTGCGGAGACACAACAGCGGGCGCGGGTCACCGAGGGGCCCGGCCGGAGGTACCGGGGACACCGAGTGGGCGCGGRGGGTACCTCGCTCCCGCCGCTCCAGGAACTCGGCGGCCTCCAGCAGCATCTGGATGCCGAGGCGCGGGGGGGCGGCCATGGCGGGGCCAGGACGGGCCCTGACCGGCGGCGGAGGGGGGGGCGCAGCGGCCTCTGCCCGCCCCGAGCGGCCGCTCCGCCAAGACCCCGCGCGGGCCGCGCCCCCGCCGCCGCTCATTGGCCCACGCTGACAAAGGCCCCGCCCAACGCAGCCGCTGATTGGAGGGCGAGGAGMGGCCACGCCCAGCGCTCCACGAGCGGCTGTGACAGAGCGCGGCCGCGCCTGAGGACACGCCCCCTGCTCGCTGCCATTGGACGAGAGTGACACGCCCTCCTGCCATTGGCCGACCCCGCCCCGCCCCGCCCCGCTGGCCGCACGCGCTGCCCTGACTCACTTCCTGCCGCTCAGCCAATGGCGGGGCCGAACAGGGAAGGGGGCGGGGCCGCGACTACGTGAGGCAACGTTAGCCCGGCCCGGACCCCG